AAACCCCCCCCCCCCAACTCCTTTTTGGGTCAGGACCCCTACAGTTACAACACCGTGACATTTCAGATTGAAATAGCTGAAGTCATGAAATTTATGATTTTTAAAAGCCTGTGACCATGAAATTGACCAAAATGGACCGTGAAGTTGGTAGGTCCCTACCCATAAGGGGTGGTCTGGGGAAACTGATTGATGCCTTAGCACCGGGGGATGGGCTAGATGGCCTCCCGAGGTCCCTTCCAGCCCCCCATTTGTACAATGCCCCAGGATTTCTCCACCTACCATCGTTAGCATCCGGCACGGAGCTGAGGGAATCCATGCTTTTGGCCGGCCGCAAGCTCATTTTAATGGATTTGTCATCTGCAAAAGAAATACAGTACACAGCTGAACAGGAGCGACCGTCTAGCAGTGAATGGAAGACTCTCAGGGCAGGTCTACACGACAGCCGCTACAGAGGCACAGCGGCTGTGCTGCCGTGGTGCCATAGCATGGATGCTTCCTACAACGGAAGGGGTTTTCTGTCGCTGTAGTTAACTCACCTTTCCGGGGGGCGGTAGCTAGGGCTACGCCAGGGGTCAGGTCAACCTAACTCCAGCACTCAGAGCGCAAATGTTTTCAGAGCCTGAACGACGTAGCTGGGTCAATCTAGTTTTTAAGCATAGACCTGGCCTGAGACACCAGCTAGTAAGTAGGGATTGCTGCACTGAGTGGGGGAGGGGGTAAAATGGGACCCAGCCTGGACCACCCCTCCCCACTGCACCTCACAGACCCAGAACTCTGCAGAGAAGACCCCCCCCCCCCTCCATGCACACACACAAACTCTGGGGACCATATCGATTTCCTCCAAGTGTTGGATGAAAAATTATCAAAATGTTTCGTTTAGACTTTATCGTTTTAATTGCATTGCATTGAATTCTATTGCATTGCATTGAATTCTATTGTATTCTATTGTATTTCATTTCATTCTATTGCATTGTAGTCTATTGCATTGCATTCTATTGCATTGTAGTCTATTGCATTGCTTTGCATTATTGTAACACTGAAATAAGCACTTTCACCTCATCAGAAAGAACCGCTTGGATATTTCCAAACCAATTTTTTTCCAGACATTTTGGTTTGTGGGGAATTTTGAAATTTCAGCTTTTTATTCGGACAGAAGCAGATTCCAAAATGTGGGGATTTCCCATGGGATGGACACTCCGAGTTCCAGGCAGGGCTATTCCTGTTAGCAGAGGCCAGTCATCATGGGAAAGGCCCTTGTGGAAAGTCCAGCAGTTGCCTGGGGAGCGCGAACAGAACCAGCAAGGAAGGGAAAAGCCCCCAGAAAGTCAGATCCAATTAACACCTCATTCTCCATTCTTCTAGCCTGCTGTTTCCTTCCTCGGTTCTCTTCCTCCCCAGCCCATACCTTTCTCCTCTGCCTTGGCCGGCTTGCGTTTGGAGTCATTGCTGGATCTGCCCAGGTTGAAGATTGACCTCCATTTCTTTACCTTCAAGGAGCCTTTTCTTCTGTGAAGAATGGCAGAGGTTAGACCAGCACCCACAGACAGGGGGCTCCAGTGCGGAGGGAGCCCGTGTATGCGGGGTGTGAGGGTGCTTGCACCACTGGGCCCTGTTGAGTGGGACACGTCAGAACTCTCTGTCACGGTCTGTGCGGGTGCTCTGCGTGTGCTCCCTGGTGGGCTGTGTTAGTCCAGCTCTTGTGTATCTCTGACCCTTTCATGGTGTGTGCATGGGAACATGTGTGGGTATATTCACTGTCGCCCCCTAGTGAATGGAGCCTGTCAGTGCTACTTGTCGACAGGCAGAGCTGGTCAATTCGCAAGCCATTTGCCCAGCAGGCACAGACCTGTGATTTCCAGTTCTCCCCCCGCGTGCCCCAGTCTATACATGGTCAGGGACCATCCCCCTGGGGAATCAGGTACATTAGAGCACAGATGATGTGTGAAAGCATCTAGCGCTTGGTGCATTTCCTCGTTCCAACCCCTGCTCCCGGGGACCGATCTGCATCCAGGGAACCGGGGATTAAACCCAGGCAGCTGGTAAAGCCCAGACGGAGAAGGGAGGGGAGGGACGGGGCCCGTACTTGTGGTCGTTGAGCTCGATGATGGTGTGGTAGGGGCGGATCTGCGGTGGGCCGTCTCCCTGGTTCAGCATGGTGGGCAAGTTGTAGGACATGGTCTGGCTGTCGGGGTGGACTCCTGGCAACCCCAAGCCGGACAGGAGGAGGGATTTCCGGAGGTTCTCGCGGTCACTTCCTAGGATGGGGAAACAAACACCCGGATGATTCAGCTGGCGCTCCGGGGCTGGGAATGGGTGCCAGCAGCTGCCAGCAGGGAGTCTTGGGTCCAAAGACAATCACAGCCAATGGGAACCAAGCGCCTCCCAGTCCCTTAAGGGAGTAAAACCAGCTAGAGACAAAGGGAGCGACCAGCCAAGGCACTAAGCCGCACAGCCAAGCCAGGGCTAATGCAAGCGGCTAGCGGGGCTGAGGATAATAGCTGCAGGTTGTGGGTGTTGGAGACAAAAAAGCCAGGAGAAGCAGTTGTGAGTGTGATTTGGGGAGGAAGCAGAGAGGCAGGGCTTCTTGGGCACAGAGCTGCTGGAGGGGCAGACATGGGGATTTCTGAGCAAGGAAACTGCCTGCTGTTGGTTGTTTCTCCTGCAGCAGGAGTCTGTGGACATGCTCTATAAACAAACATGATTCCACCGAAGAATATCCCTGCCTCAGCACTGATCTCTCCTCCTATCGGAAACAGCCCCACAAGGCCCTGAATATTGGCCTAAGGGGCAACACCGCCATGAGCTCAGAGGCAGTGTGGTCCAGTGGCAAGAGCACTCAGCTGAGACTCTGGAGACTGGTGTTCTATTCCCAGCTCTGCCACTGATCTCACTGGGTGACTCTGGGCAAGTCACTGCCCCACCCTGTGCCTCAGTTTCCCCAGCAAACTCTTTGGGGCAGGGACTGTCTCGCTATGTGTCTATGCAGCACCTGCCATGATGGGATCCTGATATTGTTGGGGGCCGCTAGGCAGCTGATGTAATATTAGTAACACGTTACAATTGTCTCATACTTCAGTGGCTCTTCTGGGATCCCTCCAATTTGCTTCAAGAGGCTGATGGGCCAGAACCAGAAGAGACGAGGAGGCAGATACTTGCCATGCCCACCAGGGCAGAGGGGAGAAGATGAGAGATGGAAAGATAAAGCCAGGCTCAGGGGGCTGGTGAGATCTGAGTAAAATCGCCCAGATCCCTGCTGCTGTGTCTCATAGACTATCAGGATTGGAAGGGACCTCAAGAGGTCATCTAGTCCAACCCCCTGCTCAAAGCAGGACCAATTCCCAACTAAAGCATCCCAGCCAGGGCTTTGTCAAGCCGGGCCTTAAAAACCTCCAAGGAAGGAGACTCCACCACCTCCCTAGATAACGCATTCCAGTGCTTCACCACCCTCCTAGTGAAATAGTGTTTCCTAATATCCAACCTGGACCTCCCCCACTGCAACTTGAGACCATTGCTCCTTGTTCTGTCATCTGCCACCACTGAGAACCGTCTAGATCCATCCTCTTTGGAACCCCCCTTCAGGTAGTTGAAGGCTGCTATCAAATCCCCCCTCATTCTTCTCTTCTGCAGACTAAACAATCCCAGTTCCCTCAGCCTCTCCTCATAAGTCATGTACGCTAGACCCCTAATCATTTTTGTTGCCCTCCACTGGACTCTTTCCAATTTTTCCACATCCTTCTTGTAGTGTGGGGCCCCAAACTGGACACAGTATTCCAGATGAGGCCTCACCAATGTCGAATAAAGGGGAACGATCACGTTCCTCGATCTGCTGGCAATGCCCCTACTTATACAGCCCAAAATGCCGTTAGCCTTCTTGGCAACAAGAGCACACTGTTGACCCATACCCAGCTCCCCGTCCTCGGGGACCCCTGGGTCCTTTTCTCCAGACCTGCTCCCTAGCCATTCGGTCCCTAGTCTGTAGCAGTGCATGGGATTCTTCCATCCTAAGAGGAGTATCTTGTGTGACCCTATAATAATTCAGTGCCCACACATTTCTTCAGAAATAAAACATTGAACATAAGAACACT